CAAGCAGTTTTCAGAAGAAGAAATCAAAGCTATTAACAGTCACATGAAAAAATGCTCTAAATCACTACTGATTAGAGAAATGCAAGTTAAAACAACTCTGAGATACCACCTCATCCCTATCAGATTGGTTAACATGACAGAAAAGGAAATGATAAACACTAGAGGAAATATGGAAAAATCGGGACACTAATTCATTGTTGATGGAGTTGTGAACTAGTCCAACCATTCTAGAGAACAACTTGGAACTAAGCCCAAAGGGCTATAAAACTGCATGTATACCAATACTAGGTTTGTATCCCAAAGAGATCAAAGAAAAGAGAAAAGGATTTATTTGTACCAAAAAATTTATGGCAGTTCTTCCTGTGGTGGCAAGGAATCGGAAATCGAGGGAATTCCCATCAATTGGGGAATGGCTGAACAAGTTGGGTTATATGAGTATGACGGAATGCTATTTTGCTATAAAAAATTATAAACAAGATGGTTTCAGGAAAAACCTGGGGAGACACATGGATGATGCAAAGTGAAGTGAGCAGAACCGAGAAAACATTGTACACAGTAACAGCAATATTGTAAAGATGATCAACTGTGAGAGACTTAGCTACTCTGATTAAGACAATGGTCCAAGGCAATTCCAAAGGATCTGTGATGAAAAAAGTGATCCAGAGAATTGATGATCGCTGAGTGCAGATTGAAGCATACTTCGTTCACTTTCTTTCATTTTTCTTGGTTTTTTGGGTGTATGTTTTCTTTTGCAACACGACTAATACGGAAATGTTTTGCATGACCTCACGTGCGTAATGGAAATCAGATTGCCTTCTCAAGGAGGGAGGAGAGAGAGAATTCAGAACTCAAAATTTTGAAAAATGATTGTTAAAAATTTTTACATGTAATTGGGACATATTTAATAAAATAAAAACAATTTTTAAAGATAAAATAAAATAAGGTTTTATATTAAGTATAAAACATAAAATAAAAGCAGAATTAACTTAAAGAATATAAATATAAAAGTTAAATATAAAGTCAGGAGAGAGGGCACTAGCAGTTGAGGGGGGATCAGGAAAGACATAGAAGGGGTGCTTAAGCTGTGTCTTGAAGGAAGACAGGGATTCTATGATGCAGGGTTGAGGAGACAGTGAATTCCAAAAAAGGAGACTGGTTAGTGTAAAGCCACAGAGATAGGAGATGGATTTCCCTACGTTAGGAACAGAGAAAAGGGCAGTTTGGCTAGATCACAGTGGGATTAATCAAAGACCAGTAATTATGTACGAGTCTGGAAATATAAAAGCTAAACACTGAAGGTTCTTTTCTATCCTAGATGCAATAAAGAGGCATAGGAGTTGACTGAGTTGGAAAAATTGCATCGGCAGTAGTGTAAATGATGGAGGGAGCTGAGGCTAGGAGAACAATTAGGAGGCTATAACAATAATCTAAGTGAGAAGTGATGAAGGTGCAAAAGATGTTACAGAGGTAGAAATGTCAAGATTTGGCAATGATTGGTTATGTGGGGTGAGGAAGATTGGGGAGTCAAGTATAAGGCCAAGGTTATGAACATGGAAGACTAGAAGAATGGTGTTGCCTTTGACAGAAATAATGAAATTTGGAAGAGAGGTGGGTTTAGAGGAAAAGTTAATGAGTTCTATTTTGGACATGCTGTGCTTGAGATGTCTCTGGGACATCTAGTTTGCAATGTCCAATAAACTGTCAACAGGCCAGTTTAGATAGGTTGAAGATTAGAGAGGGAGGGGAGATAAGTAAGGATGTACTCTGGTGGAGAAGAAGTAGGGGGGAGAGGGATCAAGGCACATGTAGGGAATCGACAGAGAGAAAGGCCACCTCATTATCAGAGACTGGGGGGAAAGGAAGAGAGAAGAGGCTTTGGGATAAAGTGAAGGGGAAAGGAGAGAGTTCCTGTCAAACGCCTTCATTTTCTCAGTAAACTGAGATCCTCATCTGAGAAAGTGGGAAGCATGAGGAACATGAGGACATTGGAGAAGTTTTGGAATAACTTCTTTGGGGAGTGAGATAAAATAATCAATTAGGGAAGAATAAAAAAAATTGTCTTACTGCAGTGAGGACTCAGTTGAAGTTGTATAACATGAACTAATGACAAACCCAAACAGCAAGGCTGCCTGATTTTTCTCTGCTTTTGTTCAGTAGCCAATGAGTAGGAATGAGGCATCCTCTCAATTTCCAATTCTTTGCCACCACAAAAAGAGTTGCTATAAATATTTTTGTACATGTGGGTCCTTTTCCCATTTGTATGATCTCTTTGGGATACAGCCCTAGAAGTGCTATTGCTGGGTCAAAGAGTATGCACATTTCTATAGCCCTTTGGGCATAGTTCCAAATTACTCTCCAAAATGGTTGGATCATTTCACAACTCCACCAAAAAAAAAAAAGAAAGATTGAATTTAATACAGATAAATGTAATCCAAAGATCAACCTTAAAACTAAAAGACTAGGAGTCATCATGAATGAAAAACTTGGGGAAAATAATTTTCCAGTGAAAAAGATCTGGGTTTGAGGGTACTACAAGTGATATAACTCACAATGTGATGTGAATAGCTTTAAAAAAAAAAAAGAGCTAACATTATCCTAGGCTACAAGAATCTAATTGTATGACTTAGCAGGACAATCCTAGGAAACTGCCTGAAACACACAGAGATTAAGTGAATTGTGTAGAATCATATATCTAGTAAGAGTCAGTGGCAGGATTTAAGTCGGGAGCTTCCTGATATTAAATACACAATTCTACCACATTGTATCTAGGAAGCAGAGTTTCCAGAAAAATGGCAGTGATAGAGAGTCCTGCCACCTGGTCAGCTGAAACACTGTGTTCAATTCTGGATTATAAGGAGGATTTAGATAAACAAAATTTTATCCAGGATGATGTTGTGGGGAACATAGTATGTGAAGCTTGGTTGAAGGAACTAAGTATGTTCCAGACTTATGGAGGACAAGATGGCAGTCTTCAAGCATTTGGAGAGTTTTCAGATGGAAGAAGGATTATACTTTCAGCTTGGCCCTAGAAAGCAGGAATAACAGAAATTGCTGTGTCAGATTCAGAAGGGATGGGAAAAATATCCCAACCATTAAAACTCTCCAAAAAATGAATAGGCTGCTTCTGGGAGGCACTTGCTTACTGGAAGTCTTCAAACAGAAACTGAAGGACTACTTGTTGGGAATGTTAGAGCAACATGGGACTGGATGCTTTCAACTCTGTGATTTTGTAACACCAATCTGTGTCCCCATTCCCTTAGGCTCACTTAACTAATTTAAGCATGCTAATTCATGGTAAACTGTTAATGGATTAATTTGTTAGCCCTCAAAGATAATATATTTATTTTATGACATACCCAAAGGATTAACAAACGGGACTTTTTTTTAGCACCTTTGGTAGTAGTGGTAGGGAGAAGTATTGGGAGAGCTCAAAACAAGTCATAGTAATACTTACCCAATCTGCCTGCTTATCTAAAGGCCCAGAGGAACTATAGTGATTTGTGCACTAAAGTTTTAATGGAGAGCCCTAAAGAATATATCATTGCTATTTAAAATAAAAACAGATGACTACTTTTTTTTCCAAAGAAAATCAATTTGCAGGTTTAACATATTAGTCAGCTTCCAGAAGGAATAACTGTTTTTAAGCTCAAGAAAAGCATCAACTTTGCCTTGTAGAAACAAGTTCCAGCCCACATGTATTATGTATGTGCGTACTATCAGACAGACCAGAGAAAGCTGGGGAGCCTGGAATGTGCGTGAGGAGTTTGGAATGTCTGTGTAGTGTCAGTTAAACTGGTTTTTCCTGTTTGTTGCCATCTAAGGGATGTGTGGATGAGTCCGAAAGAAAGCAGTAGAGATGAATGTTGGGAGAGCAAGGATGAGGATGATGAGAAAGATTTTTAAGCATCCTGGCAGTTTCTACACTAGCTTCAGCCTCTGAATCCTAAATGGGCATACAATGTTAGCATAAGTGGTCATGGCCACAGATTGTACCCTTAACACAGAACCCATAGCAGCCCTGCAAATTCACACCATTGGTTAGTGGAAAAATGATTCTTAAAGGCGCTGGGTCACAGAGCTGGCCCTACTCCAAACTGTGTAGTAAATAAAGATAACATAAATCAGATAAGATGTGATCTCTTGCCATATCTCCCATTCCTAGGAGCTTCTAATGCAGTTAGAGAAACAGGTTGAAGCCTTCCAAAAGGAGGCAACCAGGATGGCCAGGGACAGGCAACCCTGCCATATGAGAATTGACTGAAGGAATGAGAGTTCTTTAGCCTGAAGAAGAGATTCAGGGTAATCCTAATGGCTACCTTCGGGTATTTGCAGGGCTTTCATTCTGAAGAGAGACTAGACTTGTTCTTATAGCATGCAGTATGAAGAACCAGGAATGAGAGGTGGAAGCTGCAGACAGGTAGATTTAGACTTGATAGACTAATAATAACTTGATAATAACAGACTTGGTAGAATAATAATAATATCACTTTAAGATTTTCAAAGCACTTAACAAATATCTCATGTTAGCCTCACAACAACCCTTGGAGGTAAGTGCTATTATTATACTCAGTTTACAGATGAGGAAACTGAAGCAGATAGAAATGGAGTGACTTGCCCACTGTCAGCTTGTAATTATCTAAGGCTGGATTTGAACTGAAGTCTTCCTGACCACAAATCCACCACTGTATCCCCTGGGCCACTTAGCTATAAGGAAAAGCCTTTAGAAGAGATGTTCAGAAGTGGAATGGTCCACTTCCCCAAGGTTGTTGGGTTCCCCATCACTAGTCACTGTTAAGTTGGGACTGAATGAATGTTTCTCAGAAGTGTTGTTGAGGAAAAATTCCCACGTGGGTAGCAATTGGACTGGATGACCTTGGAGCTCTTATTCAACTTGGATATCCTATGAATCTTAGAGTAGAGTACCCTGACAAACCTCTGTTAAGTCCCACCTGGCTACTGGTTAGCTTATTGGGCAACGCTAGGGTATTTGAATTTAAAAGTGAAGAGTCAATCAATTAGTAATTATTAAATGCCTACTACATGTCTCATACATATCTGGGGGGACAAAGACAAAATTTAAACAGTACTTGCACTCAAGAAACTTAAATTCTATTTGGGGAGACTACAAATACATATCTACTGTAGGTATTTACAAAAGGAAATGATTTTGTCGGGAGGTCACCAGCAGCTAGAGGGATTAGGAAAGGTTTCCTATAAAAGGTAGGACATGAACTGACAGTTGAATGAGATTAGGGATTCTCCAGGACAGTGGGGAAGAGGAAGTGTATTTCAGGTAAGGGGGAGATGGAGTGTCCACTGTGAGCCAATAGATCAGTACAGCTAGACTGTAGAGTACTTGGAATGAAGTAAGTTGTTGGAAGACTAGAAAGTCTTCCAACTAGTTTGGGGAAGGGCTTTACAAGTCAACAGCATTTTATATTGGATCTGTAAGTGACCATGCCATGGTCAGCCCTGTGCTTTAAGAAACTTCCTTTGGAAGCCGAAGTATCATGGATGGGGTAGGGAGTGACTTTCGGAAGGGGGAGCAAGTAGAAAACCATTGTTATGATTAAGGCACCAGATGAGCACTGTTAGGCTGGCATTGGTGTGCTGGCTGGCTAGGTGGAGGAAAGGGGATTCAAGAGTAACTATCACATCAATGGGGCATTTCTTGTCTTAAAATATAATCATTTATGTGAAGTTGTATGGTCCTTGTCATGTCCAGCACCTGCCAATTATTTTCTAGAAGAATTACCACTATATTGATTGGTAATCCACTTCCATGGTGTCTACAGATCTTTGGCCTCTCTCATGACTTATTCCTGATCTTTGTTGTCCAAGAGAAATCTCACCTTCCTCACCAATTCTCACCAGGTGTCAAAGTATTTATTGATTTAATTTGGATAGTCTCATCAAATTCTCCATAGACTTAACTCTTCAACCTCTGCAACAGGTGTTGGCGCATCAGTTAAAGTCACGTTCATGTCAATCTTTCTGTACAAACTTATCATGAGTATTTTAATACGACCAAATGTTCCCTATGAACTGTTTGTCATTGACTTTGTGCTCTCATTAACACCAATTCCATCAATGCTCCATCTGTTTCTCCAAGGACAGTCTGTGAGCATCCTTTCATTTAGCAGCAACTTCTTCCTTCTGGTTTTATTCATAACACTAATGTCAAAATTGATACAATTCAGCTCCTCCGGTAGTCTGTCTATTCAAAGGACAAGGAGGTCACATCAAGCAGCAGCCATGTTAGTTTATAGAGAGTCTAAAGGTGGTTTTATCATAGCCTTGGTCCCTTTTCTGCCATCTTCCCGCCACTGGCTGCATGATAAGGAGTGCCATTTTGTATTTTCCTTTGTTGTCTGGGTTACCATGGTCAAAAAACTCATCACCAAATGGTCCAGCAGTGAGCCTCTCTGTCCTTAGCTAGGCTGATCCTCAGAAAGCAGAGTTGCTTTGTTACTGGGACCATACCTGAAGCCTTTCTAGCATGGCAGAACCTGTCAGAGCTTGAGCTCCATTTACATATCCTTTGAGAACCAAGGGTCATCTCCATCCCAGGATGAAGTTTCAGAGTAGGACTCTGTGGAGGAAAAAAGGCATATGTGTATAAATGTTGTCATACCGAGATATTGTCATGTAACAAGAATGAGCTACAGCAGATTGGTGCCCCTGAGATATTAAAAGAACCAGAGGAAATTTTCCAGCCCACTGAGTGGATCCTCCAAGGAGTATTTACGGGAAGACGCTGACAAGAACCATACAGAATGGCGAAATGTGGGGCAGTTGCTATTTGCATGGGTGGAGGAAGTACTACATCAATAAGGTCAAGAGTCCATCAAAGTATTATAAATATTAATCCTGTGAGAAAGCAACCTATAAATACTTGTAGATCATGATTCCTAAATTTTAGACTAAGGTCCTGGGGGGTGAGAGATCCATAAATGACAATAATAATAATAATAAGCATAAGCTAACATTTATATGGCACTCACTACATGTTCACTGTGCTAAGTGCTTTATAATTATCTCATTTTATCCTCACAACAATCCTTTGGGATAGGTGCAATTGTTATCTATTTTACATATCAGGAAACTGAGGCAGAGGTTCAATGACTTGTCCAGGGTCACACAGCTAGTAATATATAAGGCCAGATTTGAATTCTGACCTTCCTGACTTCAGGGCACTCTATTCACTGTGACATCTAGCTTGCCATCACCCTAAGTACTGCCATTTTGGTCTTTATTTAGCTACAACAACAACAACAAAAATAAAACCACTGCCATTAGGGAATTTGTGAAATTTATTGACAACCGAGGAGGAGGTCCATGAAATTGTGTGACATCAGAAAAGGCTCCTCAAACTTGACAGGGCTGGGAACCATTGATCTCTGTGCTACTCTTCAGATCACCAGGGCTACAGAACCGCTCTAAACGTGCGGCAGAGCTCACAGGCAAAAGGGATACAGGTAATGTGTCTTATTTTCAACAAGGCTTTGACTCTGTCTCACAGAATGTTCTCCTCAACACGCTGAAAAGTATGATCTTGAAGATACTTTGTCAGATAGTGTTTCTAGGGTTGTTCAACTGCATACATTTCCATTAAGTAGAAATGAGCGTGACTCCCTCTCTTTTCCACCTTAAACACTTATGAAAGACTGCTATTTTTTACAGAATTCTGTTATTGCTTCAGCTTCCAAGACAGAGTCGTCTCCTGGTTTTGTTCCTGCTTCTCTGAGTGCTCCTTCTTGGTGTTCTCTGGTATTTCCTCTCTCCTTTATATATAGGCATCTTCCAGGCTCTAATATATCCTCTCCCTTTTCTTATATTATCTGCTCTGGCAATAAATGTTTGTTGAATCAAATTGAATTGGTCTTTCCCACTATCAACGGACTGTTTCAAGATGCCATATCTATCCCACATTTTCCATCATGTTTGTATGACAGTTCATCTAGATGCTGTTATTTGCAATTATGCTGATATTTACATCGTATGCTTCTTACTCGTCCGTGTATTATATTTACAAGGCATGAGTGCCTGACTGGGTCACATAGGAACAAGCAAAGGTATTAAGTACACTAAACAGATCTTGATTTAAAAGACTTTGTACTGCATATAGATTGTATTTGTGTAAACGATCCTCACATGAAGTCATAGCAGAGAACATCTTAGATAAAAGGGTTTTTTTTAATCATTCAGTAAAAATGGAACTAAAGCCACCAAAATTTTAGATTTTACTTGGAACAACTTGAAGAACTGTGTTCTAGAACAGCTTTTGCTATATTACTAGCTGGGTGACCATGAGCAAATCACTTAACCTCTCTGAACTTTATCTTTTCTTACTTATAAAAGGCTGCTAATAATATTTGTAGTTTCTCAAGGGTTATAATGAGGGTAAGAGTGATAATGCAAGGAATATGACTGCTGTAAGAAATGCTGTATGTGATGAATACAGAGAAGCATAGAAAGATCAATATGGACTGATGCAGAGTGAATTAAGCAGAGCCAAGAAAACAATATACACAATACTACAACAATGTGATTGGAAAGAACTACTCATCAAAAAAAATCAAAACCAAATGTAACAAAAATAAAAATCAAGCATGACTAGAATATAGAGATATGAGAGGACACCTGCAACCCACCCCGTTGTGGAGGTGGGAGATCCACAGGGTTACACAGTATAAGTGTTTTCTAACTTTTTCAGCGTATGGATCAGTTGCGATTTCTTTCCTCTTTAACTCTGGATGTGGAGGAATACTGGGGATAACAACTATGATGGTATAAAAAACAGAAGACATACATAAAAACTTATTTAAAAAAAAGTTTTGCTGTAACGAGGACCCAGTTGAAATTAGGTAATATGAATTTGGAGTGGGCCCACTCAGCACAGTTACATTCAGAGCAAGGTATGTGGTTGATGTGAGTCATGCAAGGTTGGGGATTTGGCTAGGCACAGGAAGGCTAAGACAAGCAGATTCGAGGGTAAGTGATAGAATGGAGTTGGTTCGTCCAGGGGTCCTAGTAGGGAAGGGAGGAGAGTGTAGCCAGTGCAGGGCTGCTGGTCTGGGTGGAGGGACAGAGAGGACAAAGAATGAGGTTAGGGGTCATAAAGGATCATAAGGAAAGGTGGAATGAAAAAAGATTGTGACCAGACAAGAGAGTTCAGAGTTCAGAACAAGGAAGTATCCTGTAGCCTCATTAATAACTGCATTATTTCTCTCCGGTCCAAGGCTCTAGTGAACTTCCCAGAGACTCCCAACGAAGCCATAAAACCCAATGCTGCCTCCATAGCCCTGGCCTTCTTTCCAGGGCCGGATTCCCTGGGATCCCGCCGATGCAAGCCTGATGCAAACTTGCTGCCTGGGTCTGAATAAGACGCAACTTCACCGGGAGATTCCAGATTTCTCTTTCCATAAACAATAACCCATCCACTTAGTTTTATTCAAAAAACAAAAACTGCTGCCATTTGCAGACCTTCCAACTCTTATTGGACCCATGTTCTCGAGGAGCAAACTGAGGCAGGGGGAGGAGGCTCGGGGCTCGGATTCCGAGTCTGAGGCCTCCGGTCCAGCGCAGAGATACAGGCATGAGGGTGCCTGGTCAGAACCTCCAGCCCACAGTTACCCTGAGCCGGACAACCGGAGGGCATCGCGTGGGGTGGGCCCCAGCCCCGGGCTGGGTGGCCTCTGGTCAGACCCGCGGCCCGTGCCCCAGCCAAGGCACGCTGGACTCGGAGGGAAGCCGGCCCGGAGAGGGGGCTGGAGGGGTGGGGGGAGAGAGGAGGTGCTGGGGCCGGGGGGGGCGAGCGGAGGCGGGGCTTCGCGCGCAGAGCTGCAGCAGATTGGCTGGAGTGCCTCTGGGCCGACCTCCTGGCCACCTTCTTTATACATATTGATGACGTGCTCCGGGGAGCACATTGATTATTCATGAGATTTCGCGGGCTCCTCCGGGTCACATGTTATTTTTTCGCGTGAAAACCATTTGTCCGATAGCACGGCTACAGGGGCGGGGGCGGGACCGGGAGGCGGAGGGACGTGACCAAGGGAGCCCCCAGAAGCGGACTCTGGGGGTGTGGAGCGACGGAGTGGTGGCGGCTCCGATGAAAGAGGAATAAAGAAAAGAGAAGAGGGGAGGAGGGAGAGAGAATGGGAATGTTGGCGCGTGCGCAGTGAGCAGGCGAGGGGCCCCGTGGCTCCGGCGGGCGGGGGTGGAGAAGGTCGAATCTTCGTTCCATCTGCATTTATTTAGCGCCTGTTGTTTGTGGCCTAGCCTTCTGAGCGCGGATGAGGCCCCCACCTCGAGGAAGAACGGTGGGGCCATCCCTAGTGGAGAGCAGAAGGGAGGTCCTTACCAGGGGGCTATAACCTGGAGGGGGGTGTCGGGGTGGGGCCGAGGACAGCTCTTCCTCTCCCCGCCCCGTTTCCACGTGTGTGCATTGAAATGAGTCAGACAAGTTAAATGGCTCTGCTTGGCTACCAGGCTTGGCAGGTTTAGGGCAGGAAGGGCCGAGGAGGCTTCCAGGGCCAGCATCCTCATTTTAGAGATAAGAGAGCAGCCCTGGGCCCAGAAAGGTGAGTGACTTGCCCAGGGTCATACAGCTAAGTAAACAATAAACAGGGCCAGGATTCCAAGGGAAGGCTTGTTCCCTGAACTCCAAATCCCGCCCCCTTCCCGCTGGACCACAGTGCCAGGGTCTCCGACCCAAAAGCAAAACAAAACCTTTTATGACCAGACAAAAGATAGAGAGGTTCACAGTAGGTAAAATGAATATTTTTGGTCACATAAACTTAAAATTTTTGCCCAAATAAAACCAATGCAGTCAAAATTAGAAGGAAAACAGGAAAGTAGGAAAAAATTGATGGCAAGTTTCTCTGATAAAGGCCTCATTCTCAAATACATAAGGAACTGAGCCAAATTATAAAAATGAGAGCCATTCCCCCAATTGATAAATGGTCAACGGATATAAACAGGCAGTTTTCAGAAGAAAAAAGTCAAAGCAATAGTAACATGAAAAAATGCTCTAAATCATTACTAATTAGAGAAATATAAGTTAAAACAATTCTGAGATACCACCTTATAGTATCTAATTGGCTAACATGACAGAAAAGGAAAATGATAAACACTAGAGGGGACGTAGAAAAATTGCAACACTAGTTCACTGTTGAAGGCGTTGTGATCTAGTGCAACCGTTCTGGCCAACGATTTGGAGCTGAGCCCGAAGGCCTTTAAAACTTCATACCCTTTGACTCGGCACTACCACTACTAGTTTTGTATCCCAGAGATATCAAAGAAAAGGGAGAAGGACCTATCTGTACAAAAATATTTATAGCAACTTTTTTTTGTAACAAAGAATTGGAAATTGAGGGGATGCTCTTCAGTTGGGGAATAGCTAAACAGGTTGCAGTGTACGACTGTGATAGAATACTACTGTGTTATAAGAAATGGCAAGGGAGGTGGTTTCAGAAAAACCTAGGAAGACCACATGAATTCACGCAAAGTAAAGTGAACAGAGCCAGGAGATCACTGTGCACAGTAATCGCAATATTGTAAGGGTGATCAACTGTGAAAAACTTAGCTACT